ATCTGTTGAAGTCTTGGCAATCATATTTTTAAAAACTTCCAGGAGATTCTACTGTGCCATCTTGCTCAGAGTGAAGCTACATGGCTTAAAAGACATCATTCTAAAAACTGAGTATATGTGACTTTTGAAGAAGTGACAAAGTAAATCTTGAGTCAAAGATAGAGCTATGAGCCGTATGCTGATGACTCATGCCTATAATCCTAGGTACTTAGGAGGCTAAGATCAGGCGGTCTACAGTTTGAGGCCAGCCACAGGCAAAGAGTTCAAGAGACCCTATCTTCAAAATAACCAGAGTAAAATGGACTAGAGTTGTGGCTCAAGTGTAGAGTTCCTGCTTTGCAAGTACAAAGCCCTGAGTTCAAACCCCAGTACCATCCACACCCCACCAGAAAATAGAACTATTATGATCAATGTGAAATTAAGACTGTCATTAATAAAATTTAAATATGATGCCACTTCTTGGTAGCAGTGTCCGAGCAAATGATCAAAACTAGCTCCCTAAGAAGCAAAGGGCTAATTTGGTTCTGTTTGCCTATTTCCCAAGTATAAAAATCCCATCATAGCTGATTTTAAAGCCTCCGATTTTTTAACAACTGGATTGTAAAATTCCTAAAAATTTAATGGACAATTCTTAAAAATCAATTTTTTCTAGCTTCCAGGCACCATTGCTTCTCAAAGAACCAGACTGGGTATGCCAGTCGTTATCTAATTGACATCACAATAGTTCCATAACCTTTTGGGATGTTTATTTATTTAGGCTTATTTAGATTTGTTTTTTAAATTTCCTGAGATTATGGATTAACTTCAAAGGGTTCTTGATTTAATTTTTATATAAATAATATTCTTAGTAGATTTTTCACTTGGTATGAAATTAGTTAAAACATCAATAGCTCTGAGACCTTGTGATTTACTGTTTGTTCTGAACAAAGCAATCTGTTTCAATATATATACATTATTAGATACATAATAATAAGAAGATGATTCTATATTACCTTCCCTATGCCAAGCACTTTCTTAAACACTTTACATATATCCACTTATTTTTTCACAATTCTTTGGGATGTGTTTTATCATTATCCCCGTTTTTATAGACAAAGGAATTGAGGGGCAAAAATGTTAACAAACTTGCCCAAGGACACACAGCTAGTAAGCAGCAAATTGAAACGTGAGCTAGGCAGTCTGGTTCCTCTTTACCGGAATGTTATATCAAAAAAGAACTAGAACTGGGGGCATGGATCAAGTGGTTGAGTGTTTGCATACCAAGCTGGCATGCAAACTAGGCCCCTAGTTCAATCTCTAATACTGGGAAAGTGAGAAAAGAGAACTAGAAAAACAAATTTATACTTTGAAGCTATTTTTAAATATTACAACTCAAGTGTTATTGTCTAATTGCACACATTTGTGTTAGATTTCCATTGCTGTGACAAATATCTGAGATAAATCAACTTAAATGGATGAAGGGTTTATTTTGACTTACCTTTTTAGTTTATGGATGCTTAACCCCATTTCTTTGGGCCTGTGGCAAGGCAGAATATCATAGCAGGGAGTGCCTGGTGAAGTAAAGCTTCTCATCTCATGGTGGTCAGGAAGCAGAGAGAGAGAGAGAGGGAGGGAGGGAGAGGGAGAGGGGGGAAAAGAGAGGGAGGAATGAGAGAGGGAGGGAGAGAGAAGGGGTTGGGATCCCCATGTTCCCTTCAGGGGCCTGCTCACAATGACTTCCACTATGCCCCACTCTTAAAGGTTTCATTCCTTCCCAGTAGTGCCACAGGCTGAGGACAAAGTCTTTAGCACATGGGCCTTTGTGGGACATTTCAGATCCAAACCGTAACAGTGTCCTCCCAAAATTCAGTATGTTGAAATCCTATCCCCCCAAGTGGATAGTATTCAGAGGTAATTAGGTCATTAGGGCTGAGCCCTCCTGGATAATTAGGGTCCCCATGAATGGGACTAGTACTCTTATAAATGTAAGGATGCCACCAGAAGACACCATCTGTGAATCAGGAAATGGGTCCATATCAGACACCAAATCTTCCAGTATCTTGATCTTAGACTTCCCAACCTCCAAAACAGTGAAAAGAATTTTGTGTTGTGCACAAACTACAAAGTCTGTAGTGTTTTCTATCTATAACTGCTGGAATGAACTAAGACATCAAGCCCCCTGTCCCTTCTGGTTGTTGGGAAATCTTTTTCACATCTAGCCACATGTACCACCTGCTAAAATGATCATTTTATCTTCCGCATTGTCAATGTACTTTCACTTTTCCTGTTGTGAAAGTAAAAAGAACCCAGGATTTTTGTATAATGCTGTAATTGTATTTATAGAGGAACACGTTTTATAGCAAGTCATATTATCACAAACCTCTAAAAATAGCAATAGCAATACAGCTTTTAAAGTCTCCCTTTTATGGATTTATCTGGCAGGAGACAAAAGCAAAACAAAACAAAACCCCAAACCATGTTGAGGTTAATGGTACCTCCCAGACATTTGTCAACAGAAAACTGAGAAGCTAAGAAAGGCTTGCACAATGAAGCTTTAAAAAATCTTATTTGGAAATAAGTTAAAACTTATAGAAAAGTTGCAAGAATCAGATTAACTCAAAAGAAACAGATTTTTTATTCATATTCCTCTAGTGCTCAATTTTGCACCATTTGCTTTATCAATTGCTCTTATTATGTATATGCATGTATATACACAAACACACATATTTTTCTGGGTCTTTTGAGAGTAAATTGTATACGATATCGCCTATTACCACAAAATATGTGAAATAATTCCCAAGAATAGGGAGAGTCTTTTTCCTTAATCACAGGGCACTTTTAATCTAATCTCCCATCTATATTAAAATTTTTCATTTGACCTATATTGTTTTTTGGAACATTTATTTTCCCTCTAGTACAAGATCCAATCTAGGATCATTTATTGCATTTAGTTGCCATGCATATTTAGTACATAGTATAACAGTGACATTTTCTGAAAAATTCAATCACTATCCTCCTTTATTTTTTTAATAAAACATTCTTCATTTATATTTTGTTTGATGTTTCCTCATGATTAGACTCAGGTATGTGTTCTGAGCCAGAATACTGGCGTAAGTGGCATTGTTTCATTCTCAGGGTATCAAATTGAAGTGTATGTTCACACTCTTCATTGGTGAGATTAATTTTGATAATCCAGTAGAAGGTGGTTTGAATTTCCCACTACATAAGGACACTATTTTTCCCTAGAAACTAATAAGCAATCTGTGAGGAGATATCTTAAGACCAAACTAATATCATGCTCCTAATTAAAGTTTCCCCCTAGCTTTAGCATTCATTGATAATTTGTGCCTAAGCTAATATTTGCTGTCATGGTTGAAAATTGATTGTTTTCTGGTTCCAAAACTCTTTTCACATTTACCTGTTGGCACAAGGCATTCTGTGGTAAATAAAACACATGCTTTCCTCTATCTCCATCTATCTGTCTCTCTGTCCATCTATCTATCGATCATCTACCTATCTATGTATTTATGATCTGTCTATTTCAACTTGGACTCATAGGCTCCTAATTTTTTGGAATAGTTTCAAATTTATTATTTTTATCAATTATTTTGCACTCAAATTCCCAAAGTGTGGCCAATGAGAGCTTCTTTATGTTTGGATAACATGCCTCTATCATTTCTTTATTTTTTTATGTAACAGGATATTTCAGGCTCATCTTATACGTACACTGCCCTTGCTTTGGAATCAGTCATTTCTCTAAGGAACCTTGGTTCTTTCAGTGGGGTTATCACACTGTAGGATCTAAGTGCTAGCCATGTTCATTCCTGTTCAGTTGTCTTTGTTTCTAAGATCTTTTGTCCAGAACTAGGAAATACATGCATGTGAGTATGTGTGTATATATATGTATACATATACATATATACACATGTGTGTATACATATACATATATACACATGTATGTATGCATATATACACAGTAGGCATACACATAAATACCTGTGTACACACATATGTGCATGCATGTGCTTGGCTTAGAAACCATGAATTTACATTGATTCCATTCTTGTGTGGTTCTTCCTTGTCTTCCCTCATTCCATATTTGTATATGCCTTCTTCCACAGTGAACATCCTGGTTCCCATCAACATCAACATCTCATTTACTCAATCTTATAATGCAGTTTCTCTTTTATTTGGGCACAGTAGTTCCCCATTCTTGCCTATCAAAAATTATCAGACCCAGTAACTCTATGTCTATTTATTCAAAAGAAAGGAACACATATCCAGAAAAAGTCTTATACAAGCATGTAGCAGCTTTATTCATACCAGCCAAAAATTCTTAACAGCCCAATTACCTTAACAGAAGAATGGCTAAATAAACTGATGTATTCATACAGTGGAACAATTGTGGGCAATAAGAGAAACCAACTACTATTACACGCAACAATATGGAGGAATCTCAAAAAACATGGTGTTGAACTTTAAAAGGCAAACAGAAATTAATGCATAATACGTGATTCCATTCACATGAACAGGCAAAACTAACCTACGGAGATAAAGCTAATCACTTGTGTGCTTGCTCTGGGGGATGGAGAGAGCAGGATTCTGACTGGGAAGGGGCAGGAGAAAGCTTTTTAGATTATGGAAATGTTTCTTATCTCAGTTGGGATGTGAGTTATGTGGGTACATGCATTTGTCACAACAGTTTCAACTCTGCCCTTAATATCTGTGCATCTTGCTGTCTATAAATTACTCCTCAGTTTAAAACATTGGCTGAGTTAAGTGGACACTGCTCTTTTTGGCTGAGATTAGAAAGTCTTGATTAAAAACACCTCTTTTTCCTGGATTACCTCATTTCTGATTCCCCTTCCTCATGACCCATGACTCCTGAAGACTTGTGAGTTTGCTACTGCATCAATATTTTTACTATTCTGTTACTTTTTTATTATAATTTCAAATAGTCAAACTACAGAATAGGTTATAATTTCTCAAAAAATTAAATGACATTATCAACTATTCAGGCATGTTCAATACATATGGTTTAATGTTCTCAAACTGAAAATGTTTAGATTAATCTTCAGTTTAGGCCTTGAACAATGTAACATATTTTAAGATAAAAGCAAAACAAATAAGCAAACTGCGGGGTAGCCAGGTCTTGCAAATGGAGGCAATTGATTTGCACTATTAAATGATCAAATACCACTTCAATGAGGAAATGATTTTCTCAGACCTTCTCATAGATTCTGGTGCAGACCACGCCCTTCATCACACATTCCTTTAGAGAGAAAGAGATTTAGAATTTAGAACTGAAGTCAGAGAACAGTAAATTCATAAAAAAAAGTAGAAATTCAAAATAAACTCCTAAGAATCAATATGGAAAAGAGTAAAACATCAGTACACCAATCTCCAGTAACTCAGCATCGTGACCAGTACTTTGGAGAAACAGCTTTGAAGTTGATCTGTGTTACTGTAAAGGAATTTTTTTTTTAAGTAGCAAGTTGTTACTCATAATTCATATGCATTTAAATCTTGAAAAAGTGCATTGTTTCAAACTCATCACCCAGAGGACATTTAAATATATTGATGCCTCCCAGGAAATTTGCATTCAGTTGATCCATGATGGGCCTCCACATTGGAATTGACTTCCCCTGTAAATCTGTTGTGCAGCAAAGAACCAATGTATACTGAAAGAAGTATTCAAGACATTAGTAAACCTATTTATAGTCAATGTATTGGTAATTAGGAAGCACAGAACCATAGACTTAAAAAAATCTTCAGAGGTCATCTCCTATAATCTTTTTCATCTTTGTTATCTGCTAACTAAAAGAGGTGCCCAGGAGCTCAGCTTGCTTTTTTGATGTTGTTTAGTGTAGATTACTATGGATATTTTTTGACCCAGGCTGGCTTCAAACTGCAATCCTCCTGATCTCTGCCTCCTGAGTAGCTAGGATTGTAAATGTGAGTCACTGGGTACCCAGCTTACTACTTTTGGAAGCAAAATGCTTAGGTATCTGCATATTTTCTATCACTGAGTCTTTCAGGATTTATTTTGCTTATAAAATTTAGACTTGCTTTTTTCATTGAGTCCTAGCTAGTAAGATTGATCCTTATTTTTTTATCTATATGTTTACTTTTTAGGTGTTATTTCTGAAATCTTAGGCCAGTATTTGAAGTACTTGAATATGAACCTTTTATGGCTTAAATATCACTTAAGCATTAACTCTGACTTTATTCTTAGCCATTTTTATCCATTTGTATTCCAAAGAACAAAGAACATTTTGAGAATAACATAATCAACTTATTTATATAGCATTATTTCTGTATTGAGAATTGGAAACAATCTTACCACTACCATTTTCCCATCTACCAACTTTCTCTTTATGGTCGTCTCTTTGCCATCCCATTTCTGTACATGATTCAGTGAGCCTCTCTCCAGGGTGACAACACTCTGCAAAGACAAGTTCATGTGATTGACTTGCTTGGACTTTGGTTGATCAAAGAAGCAGTTCATTCAGTATTGGACCATAATAGATATCTCATGAGGCACATTCACTTTCAACCCTTTTAAATTCTAGCAGGACTAATCACCTCTCTCAATCAGTTGACTGGGCCAACTTTAAGGAGAAAAGTTAAGGATTACCTTGGTTTTCCTATTGTCAGCTGTGGTTTCTTCAAATTCCTGGCCCAGCTTGAAAGAGGTCTCTGTAGTTTTAAAAGTACTTTCAGTGCGTATAGTTATATAATCCCCTTTCTTGCTGATGATCACACTGGGTTTGGCCAAATTTCCCAGTTTTCTGGTGGCTAACCCCACACCTGAAAACCAAGATAGTGTTAGATTTGTGTTAGCAAAGACAGTGTATCTGGAGAGACTATGGTGGCCATGTTGCATGCTCAGTGGTACCTTAGGTGTGTGGATGGAAGGTGGTGCCATGTACTAAAAGGGCCTCCTCCTGTGTTTCACCACCCAATGCAAATGCATGTAGGGTACCCCTACATTTTAGGTTCTGTTATTAGGAAAGTAATGTCTGCAGATTTTATAAAGTGGAATTGTTTGCTGAAGGAAGGCAAGTTGTACACTTTTACCACCCCTCATCCTACTCCCCACCGGAAATCAGCCATTGACGATATGTATGAAACACTAAAGATATTTCAGTTGGTACATGAAAATAGTACAGATACATTTTAGCAAGACGATGACGTGCATACATTGTGCCATGATGTTTCTCCTCAGTAATAGATTATGGATATGTAAAAGAATTTTCTTCATATCCTTGATAGAATCTCATTTCTGAAATTCTGTGGCTCCGATGTCTGACTGGTAGGAAAAAAACTATCCATCTCACTTCAGAGTCATTGCAAATGGTCATAGATAAATAAAATGATTTTCTGAAACTCTTCTACATTTGGAAAACCATATAAAATTGGGCTCCTTTTATTACTATGATTACCAAAATTATAGAAATACATGGAAAGAGAGAAAGGTCGTATAAAAAATATATGAAAGAAAAACTAGCTTTCAAAAGCTCCAGTGGGAAGTCCCAATTCTTTTTTCTATAAAAAAGGGAAAAATCTTGTAATCCAGGTGTGCTGGTACACTCCTGATACAAAACAATTAAAGACAAACCAAAATCAAATCAAACCAAACTCCAAAACTTGTATATCGTATGTATACTAAATAAATATTGAAGTTGTAGAGAATAAACTTCTATGAACTGTATTCTTTCTCCTAACTCTGATTAATCTTTTTTTGAATGATTTAGAATAATTTTTTAAACTAAATCATAATCTCTGGTACAAAGCCTGAGAGTTCATAAAACCCCAAGAGGCCTTGTGAACTCTATAATTTGAAAACAAGAAAATTAGAGAGTCCCTCATGGAGACTTTCTTGTATTTTGCTTCTTCTTCTGCTACAAATGTAACCCATTTTATAGTATGGATCCATTCCCATAAGTTCCCATGGTCTTCTGGGCAACAATTCATTTTTTCCAAAACCAGAAACTTTTAGACAAGCTTTTGAAAAGCTAAGAAAAGCTACAGATCCTCTGACAAGCATGGCAACCTAAAGTCATTGGCATTATTCTCTTATCACATTTATAGAGTTCTAGAAATTTCTAAAGACGCTTTATGTCTATTGTGTTCTTATCTATGGAACAGACATAGTATAAAATAAAGTTGTTGTAACTACTGACTGGGTTTTCTATCTCCGTCACTGCTCCAACACCAGGAAAGTCTACTTTTCATGTAACCGTTTGAATTCACTGCCCCAAACCCAGTTCTTTTTTCTCATAGCAATTCTCCTAGTCTGTGAACATCCTAGGGTAGGAGAAATTTTCATTTTTCAAATTCTACCTACACCATTATGGAGAGGTAGAAAGAGAAAATTTTTAGTATGTACAAACATTAACATTTTAAATAGAGGTTTTCTAGCATTCAATATTTTATGAGCACCTTATTTTCTATAAAACTAACTTTCAGGAAGCTAGTGATGTTTACATTTTCTTTCTTCCAGGTCTCCAACAAAAAGCCTGTTAGTGTAAAACTGCCTTTGAATGAAAGTTCCATTCATTTAAGTAGCTTCATTTAAATTAAGTTCTATTATAATTGCCACAAATAAAATGTAAGCAAATCATCAGAATGGCACAATATATTAGTCCCAGAAGAGGATTGTATCTCAGCCTGTGCAAACTTCCCTAATGTCCTGGAAAAGGTGTTAGAAGGAAATTTATGCTGTCCTCCAAAGGACATTTGCAGCCAAAGCAACCCAGAGTGTTTCTTACCCAGTGCTTTCATATAGTCATCGAAGTGCTCACTGGAGACAAGTTTCCAGGTGCCCAGGAATCTGTTGCTCATTGTAATGGAAGACTGTTCAACAGAGCTGGGATTCAGGAGACTCTGATACGATGTGGAGGCCCCAGAAGACTCTTTTCAAAGATGGACAAAGCACGTGACTCTCACAGAGACCCAATGGGGAAAGGCAGTGTCAGGACTGGGTGATGAATGGCTCTTCAATCATCAGCTGCCCATCTAGCAGGATAAAAGAAAACCCAACATAATGTTTCCTTTTGTTTCCAAATAATTTTATAAGAATGTATGAGAGTACTATTTGAACCTTAAGAAATTGGTTGATCTTATATTAATAAGAGTGTTTAAGTCTTTCGTGCTTTGGAGAAAGACTCAGTGATCATGAATGATTGTGTGTGTGTGTGTGTGTGTGTGTGTGTGTGTGTGTGTGTGTGTATGATATTTAGGCATCTTGGTTATTCTCAATCCTGAGTCTGCACAATTACAAATTCTTATTCAAAGGGAGGAAAATGCCCATTCGTATTGTGGTAAGAGTCTCAAATATGTTGTGGGAGAGAAGCACAGGCCAGCACTGTGAGGACATATTCAGAGGTGAGGAAGGCTTGGCATAGTTCACATATCCCAGGCAGGCAGAGTAGGCAGACAATGAGATCAGTCTGTCACAGTAGAGTACAGAAAATGTATTCATGTCATAGGACAAGAAGTAGCACTGTAACGTGATCTTTGACCACAGCTTAAGATTTTCATCTAAAAAATCCTTAAGTGCAAACCAAGCAGGTTCCTAGTTGCTATGGCAACTGTAAGACATGTAAAATAAATCCACAGTTTTATAAAGAGAGGATTTTCTATAAAAAACAACACTAATGGATATTAAGAGCTCATTATAGGCTAGTCCCTGTCCACTCCAGACTTAATAGATTGTCTCATTTAATCCTCTTAACACTCCAATATTTGGAGTGTTGTTATATCCATTTTACCAGTGAGGAAAACTAGAACTCAGGGAGGTTAGGCAACTTCTTCCAAACTGCAATAGGAAAGGCAGGATTTGGACCCAAAATGATCCCCTATTGCCTACACTCTGGACCACTATCTCACACTGTACATGCAATGCATGTAAGACCTGGTTAAAAATCAGGCAATACTGACATCCCCCATGATTGTCTAGTAGTACTGACTCTCTTCTCAAAAATCAGGAGAGATGACAACCAAGAGAACCAGGGGACAATGGAACATTATAGTGCCAGTCTTTGACCAGGAGGAGCAAATGTTAAGTCCAGTTCATACATAAGTGTTGCTCTTGGTGATGCCTGATTGCTGTCACGCCTTCCTACCAGATTTTCCATATTGCACTAATTCTAGAGGTGAGACAAATATTATCAGGTTTTATATGTGTGGCACTTTTCACAACAGTGGAAATAATATGATAAAATTACTCAAAACAGGTAGAATTCATGGGGCTTCAGGCCTTAGGTACCCAGATCCGTAACTATGCTATCACTATGGCAGTTACATGGTTCGACTTCAAGCTGAGTGAAAAAATACAGAATCATTGCCAGGGGCCAGTAGCTCACACCGGCTACTTGGAAGGCTGAGATTGGGAGGATCTCAGTTGGAGGATAGCACTGGCAAGTAGTTTGCAGGACGCCATCTCCAAAGTAACCAAAGCAAACTCGACTGGAGATGTGGCTCAAGAGGTAGAATGCCTGCCTCAATAAGCACAAAGGCCTGAGTTCAAACACCAGTCCAGCCAAAACAAAGCAAAAACTAATGTGGATTCATATACAGAGGGCCCAAGTCTCATTTTCATTAGGAACTGGATAACTCAAAGTGGAAATGAAATGGTGGAAAATTCCTCAGCTAACCAGCAAATCCAGTATAATGGAGGAAGAACATTGTACTGGGTTAGAAAAAACAGCTATGAAAAGGAGCAATGGATTAGTGAATATGAATTTTATTTTCCAAAAATTTCATAAAAATTATGGTATCACTTAAAAAATTTTTTGTCAGCTCTACTTTACTCAGAAGTGTAACCTTCAACATAGAGTTTTCCTGCCAAAATCAGTGAAGGCCTCTCACTCCCTCCCACTAGAGTTGAGCCTACTCAGAAAATCTGTATGAGTTTCCAGCAGGCCCTATAGTGCACATAGGATAGCAGTGGAGCATAAACGCAAACATTAATCGTATATTGCCAAGGTAGAAAGTTTATAACGTTGAAGCAATTTTAGTTCAAGAGAAGAATTTCTACTTTAGGTTTATCGTCAATTGTGTCTGACTGCTGAAGTTGACCAGATGAGTTTAGATCAAAATGAGATTCTAAGACCCATGTAAGCAACGAAAAAATATCCAAACTGAGCCAGGCTTGAGACATCAGGACACCCTGAGCTAAGAAAGTCATCAATATCCTCTCAAGAAAGGATGAATAACAAATACCAGAACTACATTATAACTTGATGCTTAAATTTAGTCTTGAGTTAAACGTAAGTAAAAATAGAAAGTTTTGCTCTAGTCTGGATTCAATTTTCCTTTTAGCAATTTATTTGAAAAGAACAACCAAAGGTCTAAAGAAAATTGATAAGGAAATCATATCAATGTGTCATAAAAATATCCCATATTATTTTAAAATACATCCAGTTGTATATTTGAAAAAGATAAGATAGATAGTCATTATGCAAACAATGAACAAATTATTCATGAGTTTTTACTTGAATGCCAATTTTTTTCATTCATTCAATTGCAAAAATATTTATTGAGAGATTACTGAGTGCTAAGCACTGTTCAAGGTGCTAGTTACACAACATTGAGCAAAATTTCCTAGCCTTATGAGACTTACACTCTAGTTAGGAAGACACACATTAAACAAACGTTCAGAGACATATGCTGTCCAAATATTGTTCTGTATTCTTTGCAGATGGAGGCAGTGAGGACACTATAAAAGTGCCTGGTGACCAGGACTACATAGGAAGATATTTTATGCAGTTTCTTAGACACCAGTAGTAGTCAATGATCTGATTTATCATCAGAATGCAGCCAAGAGATCTGATGCTCTTCCCAAGAGCATTTTGGGCCTGGTATCTCTTTCATGCTTCAAATAAGTGTTTTTATCTAAGTTTAAGGAGGCCAAGATTGAAATTGCTTTCTTAATGCAAACCATTCCTTGTAACTTCCTGAACGACCAGTGGATGGCTAGTTTTTTGATTACTATGGTGACAGTTTTATTTATCCTGCCCCGAAGGTAGCTGATAGCTTTTTTGTTGTTGAATAGCAATAGAGGGAAAAAGTAGTTTATGAGTCCTCCAGACAACGCAATTAGCTTTGTTTTTTCTAGAATCTAACGTGCTTGGCTTCTTTTCCAAAGGCTAGTCTAAGATTTCACATCATTATTTCTAACAGAACACCTGAGAATTGAAGCTACTCATTGGGAAAGGAATAAAAAAAACAGGATTTCTATATTTCAGTTTCATTCTCTGGTTATTGTAGTACACACTGAGATTCCTACAGTTTTTCTACTCCCTTTTATTTGCTTTTAGAAAGAAAGTGATACTAACACATTCCAAATACATCCATCTCAGACTTTAGCAAAAAAAGGTACGGGACACACTTTTTAGGATTCAGCCCTGTGTTGCCATACTGCTAGTAGAAGAAAAGAATTTCTTTAAAATAATTCACTTGCAAAACACAGTGAAAAGTGTGTGTATGTATGATCATCTCATAAGGAACAAATAAAAACTCAGAAAATCAGATGATTTTTAAATCATGTGTTATCCAGACAACCTGCCTTGCTTCCTACTTTATTTTCTTGATTGTGTTTCACAATTTTTTTCCACAATTGAGATGGTATAAAGATTGTGAGAGAAAGTGCAATTTACATATGACCTTTTTATCCAGAGAGAGATTTCAGATTAGGTAAGTTAATTCAGAGAATCAACTAAATTCATGTCTATGCTGTGTTTTCTTTTATTCAGCCATCCCAACCTTTATTCCTTCAAATGTTTGGAAGCTAGATTTATAGTTACATCTAGCCCATAACATGCTCAAGACTAGTGGTAATACATGATAAAAATGAGATATCTTGAATCTTGTACAGACTTAGAATAACACTAGCTGCTGCAATAAATCCCAAGATTTCAGTGGCTTAAACCAGAAGTTTAGTCTTGTTCAATGTCCAGTCCAGTATAGGGTCTCCTGGTATGTAGGAGCTTTTTACTATGACGTTACTCAGATCTCCATTGGATCTATTCATTTTGTGCCTATTCCTTGTCCTTAGGTCTCAGGACCTTCCCCTAAGCAGGACAGTGTAGATTGCCTCTTAACTCTCTTGACCCAGAAGTGGAATATATCACGCACTCAGATTCCATTGCAACAAGCTGTCGTAAGTCCCAGTGCACAGAGAAGGGACTGAGCAGCCTGGTGCCTGGCTTGCAGACTGTTAAGCAGCAACATTATGCTACAGAAGGACAATCCCCGATCTCCAGCAAGAATTAACCATCTGCCACAGTGGCACTAAAATCATGATACAGTGACATACCTTATATTATTTCTTAATGTAAAAAAGACAGAATGCTATAGTGAATTTGGAATAAGCACTCATCTACTTTGATGAATTACTACATGGATGGCATTTGGGTTTAGTTTTGTCATTTGTAAAATATTGATTGATTTGAGGATCAAGGAAGATTATTTTTGTGAAGTTGCTTTGTAACTTGTGTATCAAAAAAGTTTTCTTTTTTAATAAGCATCTACTGAAATCTGAAGTCTACTTTACAAAGTCAACCAGAATCCATTTCCCCTGCTCATTTTCCTTAAAACCTATTTCCAACTCATTGCTTCAAGCCTGTGCTCTAGGCTAACTTCTGCTGAGACTCTCCCAGGTGTTGACGTCTGCCCACCATTTTAGTGTATATGCTTACCATGACATTGTTCCTACTTGGGGACTGGGGAAAATGAGAGGCTGAAGCGTTTCCTGGGTTAGTCCTTTTCAGGTCTTCTTTACCTTACCACTGTTGTGGAAATATTGTCAGATGAGAAACCAAGTGACACTCAGAGAAATGGAGAACTCAGATTTTATTTTATGCCAGTGGTCCCAGATGAG